GTGAGACTGAGTCTACTTGGTGCTACAACTCGGCCTATTGTACGAGCCTTGGTTGATAGATGATGTGTGTGAAGAAGTCAGTGGAATGAGAATTGGCAGGGGAAACATAAGTAATCGGAGAAAACCTGCCCCAATGTCACTTTTTCCACCACAAATCCCACATGACTTGACCTGAGATCGAACCCGAGCCGCCGCAGTGGGAAGCTGGCGACTAACCGGCTGAGCAAGTGGCTTGCTATATGTTAGACGACCAGTGTTTGGTCCTCGTCAGGACGGACTCAGGAGCCGATGAAGACTTCATCCAGCGGGTGACGTGAGCTCTTCCTTCGGGAGGCAGTAAACCCTCATGAATGTAGACCCACAACAGAAGCGCTGTATCCAGTTCTATTCAGAACAGTTCTGAATGCCCTTACATCGACGACTGAGGTGAAAGCTTAATGTTGTGATTAAGCAAAGCAAGCCATCAGCGAGCGTTGCTGACGGCATAATGGTTTACTTAATGGAGATAAATGACCATACTGACCGGTGTTTTAATGGCTTATCTATATCCCGTAATTATATCGGACTTGTGTCAGTTTCGAATTGTGCTGGACTCTTGGAACCTTCTGGGTTACAAATGCTGGGTTTTCGTGATAACTGCCTATCGTTTTCACATAATTACAAGATTAAAAATGCTCCATGTACACTCATTTTCTAAATGCATTTGAAGTCTAATTTCTTGTCCTTAAGACAGTGCGCCTGTGAGATGAGAATGCTGCTTGTGGGTGCGTGAGTGTGTGAGACTCCATTCCAATTCTAGAAATACTTGACCAATTTGAACCACACTTGGTATGGACCCACCCCAACTTTGTACATTTTGAAGAGATGTAACGCCAGGTAGTCAGGTAGAAGTTCGCCGATGATTCGGAAGAACAAACTGGTTCCATTTTCAGGGCAGAATAATTAGCCGAACAAGTTTATCGCCTAAGTTCACAAGAAGGGCGATAAAACTGACTGTAGTGTTTATCGGGGGGGTATCACTGCTATCAACTTCATATAAAATTTTGTCCAATATTCTTCTCTCAGCCGGTCACCGTAGCTGAGCGGTCTAAGGCATGTACTGTCTTCGCTCGCTTGGAAACCGGGATCGTGGTTTCGAATCCCACTCAGGGCATGGATGTTTAGTTTCTGTGTGTGCGTTTTTCTGTGTTTGTGTACAGGTAGAGGCCTTGCGACGAGCTGATCACCCGCCCAAGGAGTCCTACCAAATGTGTAAGATCTAGAAAAACCGAAGTGAACGGAGAAGTTCATGGAGGTAGGCCTAGGCACACTGGGGCTATAGTGCCAGGGAAAAAACAAATCTTCTTTCAAGGTTAAATCCATATATAGATGAAATTATTGTGGATCATCAATGTGGGTGTCGACGTAACAGATCAACTACAGATCAGATCTATTGCATTCGTCAGATATTGGAGAAAAAAATGGGAGTACAATGAGACAGTACATCAGCTATTCATAGACTTCAAGAAAGCCTATGATTCGGTTAGGAGGGAAGTATTGTACAGTATTCTGATAGAGTTTGGGATACCCATGAAACTAGTTAGGTTGATTAAAATGTCTTTAAATGAAACGTATAGTTAAGTCCGTGTAGGTAAACATTTTTCCTATCCAGAATGGTCTAAAACAAGGAGATGCTTTATCGCCACTCCTTTTCAGTTTTGCTTTAGAATATGCCATTAGGAAGGTCCAGGAGACCAGGTGGGACTGAAATGAAACGGGACACATCAGCTGTTGGCCAATGCTGAAGATGTGAATCTACTGGGTGATAATGTAGATATCATAAAGAAGAACACACACTTTAATTGACGCAAGTCAAAATGTCGGCGAATTTCTCCCGGACTGCTTGGCATGCAATCCCAGAAGATAACAATACTCTTTACAGTCACTGCTGTAAGAACCTCAAATTCAGCTTCGTACTTTTTCATTTCATACAGTTGGTAATGACAACATGGCGGACACACAAACTCGTAAAGTGAGAAATACACTATCGCCACTTAATAATGCATGGTAATAAATCTTTGAAAAATGTTCAGCTCATGTTAATTTTCTTGTTGAATCTCAAATAAGAAAAATGGGGCTACAGCAACTCTGTTTTTAGCTGTCGGTTCGATGGAGATAGCCCGTGAATCATTGGAGCGAGGAGTGCGAGACTTGTGGAGGTAGATTATACAGGCCCGCGTCATAGCTCAAGCGGTTAGTCGCTGGCTTCCCACCTCGGCGGCCCGGGTTCGATCCCAGGGTCCGGTAAAGTGGGATTTGTGGTTTACAAAGTGGAGCTGAGGCGGGTTTTCTCCGAGTAATTCGGTTTCCCCTGCCAAATTTTATTCCACCAAATTCTCGTGGCAGGCTACAATAGGCCAATCAGAGGCCGCCGTGCCGAGTGGACCCAGTTGGACTCCATCCCACCCTCCAATAAGCGAATTAAAGAAAATAGACCATACACGTCTATCAGTTCTGTACGAAATATTGCTTATAAGTCTATAATTATAATCATGGTGACGGTGCGAGTTTCCGATAACGTAACGTAGGTTAAGTCTATTGTTATTTTTACTGTTGCGTAAACACTAAAATAAATAAAGCATTTAATTGAAACATAATCAAGATTATTATTATTATTATTATCATCATCATCATCATCATCATCATTATCATCATGGCTTTTCCCTTTTGTTTCTTTTCTTTACTCGCGTTCACTATGTAATTGCCCTTTGGGCTGTTAAGTTTGCACGAAAATTAATAAAAATTGAATTGAACAGAATTATTATTATTATTTCTGAGAGAACTGATTTCTTAATATTACTCTTTAAGCACTTTTCAGTAATAATAATAATAATAATAATAATAATCCGTAATAAAATTTCAAGCTGTAAGAATTTTGCTCGACTAAGATTCGATCGTATGATAAGCACTCTAACCTATGAGCTAAATTAAAGTTCACTGTTGAAATATAAATTGACGTTACCCAAATAATGCATTAACAGTACAAGATACTGGAGGCTTAAGTCTACGATGGAAGAGCAGACCTCACAATTTCCTGTAGACACTCCCTGTTAGCTATTTTGCCTGCCTCGTTGACCATTATTTCAGAGCTAATTGCATTTATAGATATGTGATAATGCGCAGGCTCAGAATTATTTTCCTTATAGCGGAAAGTCCTTAAACATTCGCCACATCGACAGATAGGCCTACTATGTCACACAGATATTACACATTTTAATGAGATTCAGTCATTTTACGCTGACAGTTGCTGATGAATCACTTTGGTAGTAGACAAACTAGACTGGAAACACATGACACTTAAGGAGATACAGTGTATTCAAACAGTAAATTTTTGCGTCGGAACTTTCTATTGTATAGTTATTTTTATTGCCAAAGCTTGTAATAAAATAGAAAAGAACTTGTCAACACTATCTGCACATTGACTGTTGATCGAAATATTTTAAACAAGCTGTAGTAATGACTCGGCCACACACCTGACAGGTGAGTGTTAAAGCCACATCGAAACGGCTGTGCAATTGATTATAAATGCGCCTGAACCGTTGGAGACTTATTTATTTCAAAGTAGGCATAGTTCGGAGGACCTAGTGATGGAGTGTTTAATGTTAAGTAAAGCTATCCCTGTTAACAGCCCGTGAAGACCCATAGGGTTGTGAGCCGTCGTGGCTCCCACATTTTGTCTAGATAATCGACTGACAGATGGTGATAAGGTTGTTAGCCTTACGCGCAGGCCGCCCATTACCCCCCAGGAAGCTTCCTCGTACTCATTTCTGTTAGAAGCTAAGTCGACCCCAAGGCCATAGTGCGGCTGGAAGGTATAGGTAAACTGAAAAAATCAAATTACCTCATCTGGACTCGAACCCACGACCTTTCGGCTTGTAGCATAGTGCTTCAAGAAGACACCTACTCAGTTGTGTCCCTTGAACTGATTGAGGTTAGCTCACCCGAAGGCCGAAACTGTTCCAGTTTCCGAAACCTTTTGTTTTCTAGAATACCGAACGATGCACAAAGACCAAAAACCAATTAGTTCTGAGTGTTATGCAACATTGTCAGAACCCTTCAGAATCTGCTGTGTATGAAATGTTCCTCATTGTAGGGATTCTTCAGTGGAACGAGATGCCACCCTGAAGCCAGCTGTCGTGTCTTGGTCGCCATGTGTCTTTACTACCAAACCGGCCTCCTGACATGCAGCATTCTTGTGAAAAGTTTCATTCAACCCCAGTGAGGCCTTTGTGTGTGGGTCGCGGACTGATATACAAGTATTTCTAACAACCGGAAGGGCAAGCCGCGACCCAGTATCCACATGGTGCGGCAAGCGAGAATGTAGTTGCCGAACTCGACGTGGTTTTTATACTTCCAGATGTGAAACCGGAGGCCAGTTATTGATCTGATTACACGACTTCCTGGCATATTATTAATGTATGCATTTATATAGCTGCTTTACATGTAATGCTGTGGCGATTGCCCACGGTTCTATATTCTCACGGACTGTATACTGATGCAGAAATTTAACAATATGAACGTAAAAATCATTAGTGACGTGTCCTTAAAACTTTCTTTATTTATATTAATAAAATCCGAAATCAAATATATACACAGAGCTTGAAAATTATACAATTATACGAATTTCTACTCTTGATACTGAAAATTCATTCGCTAGTACAAAACGATAAAAAATGGAGGATGATTCTGAATTATTGTTGGGGTTTCCGTGACCTATGATTTTCAAACCGGAGCCAACAAAATGAAACTGCTTACGGAATATGAAAATGTAACTCAAAAAGTTTTATTTCTTTTAGATGCAGAATGCTAGACAACTTCAACATGCGCCCCTTTCGTGGCAAGTAAATAGTTTTATTTTGTGGTTTCCGGTTTGAAAATTAGAGGCCACGCAAAACCCGACAGCAATTTAAAACCACTGTGTATATGGTCATCAATATCATAACAGTCCTCACTATACTCACTATCGTCAAAATCCTCACCATCGTCACAATCCTCACCAACCTCACCGTCGTCACAATCCTCACCATCCTCACCGTCGTCACAATCTCCACCATCGTCACAATCCTCACCATCGTCACAATCCTCACCATCTTCACAATCCCCACCATCGTCACGATCCTCACCATCCTCACCATCGTCACAATCCTCACCATCCTCGCTATCGTCACAATCCTCACCATCGTCACAATTACCATCGTCACAATCCTCACCATCATCACTATCGTCACAATCTTCATCATCGTCACAATCCTCACCATCCTCACCATCGTCTCTTCTTAGATTTTAACATCACAAGATGACGAAATGAAGGTAGCTTTATGAATATGTCGCAATAATTATTACCCCGTTGCATTGCGGTGTATTTTTCGACGCTGTTGTTATCCACAATTCAATACGTCAGATTACAAGGTGGTTACTAAATAATGAATCGGAAAGGATTTGGAAGGAAGCGGTCTTAGTCCAAGTAAGTTATCCTTGAGTTTTTATATGGGATAAGGAGAAAATAAGAAGAGTTTAAGGTATAATAGCATGTGCCTCAGCCGAGATTCGAATCTAGTACCTTCCGAATACAATTCTAGAGCCAGCCGGAATAGCTCAGTCGATATAGTGGTGGGCTATGGGCTTTACGAGCGGGCTTAGATTCCCGGCAGGCGCATTGATTTTTCTCTTCTCCACAGCATCCAGGCCGACTGGGTGAGCCCGCACCCGCCCTCCTATCAAATGGGGACTTGGGATCCTTTCTCCGCGACCAAAGTGCCCGCAGCTTAAAGCTTACTACTCACCGCCATGTATTGCCGAGGTCGAGAATGCGTGAAGTCATACATCCACTCCCTCATGTCTCCGTGACGTAGTGCTTAATTGCTTAATTCATTAATTACAGGGATAGCTTTAACTTTACCGATTCAACAGCCTGTTACGTATTGCCTTGTACAGTTTACAGGCATGTGACGGTTGTTGCAGTTCGTATTAAGGCAAAGTTCTCTCTGTATGTAACTAATTAAGCACTACGTCATGAAGGCGTATGGGGGAGTTGATATATAGATCCACATTTTCTTGACCTCGGCACTAGCTGGAGGTGAGTGGTCAGCTTCACGCCCTGACCACTTTACCTCCGAGGAAGAGCCACCATTACCCATTGGATAGGAGGTTGGGTGGACCCCTGAGCCAGTCTGGACGACGTGGAGAACAGAAAATTCCTGATGCTACCGGGACTCGAAATCCAACCTATTAGTCGTCCAGCCCCTAGCTAGTCGCTATACCGACTGCTCTATATTCGTAATTGTTGTGAAGCGTTAGTCAGTTTTCGTCATGGGCAAGCAACAGTCACATAGCTGTATGAGAGGATGTATTTTCTTGAAGTTGGAAACAGGCCATTGGCTTATGCACTTGAAGAAGACTAAAAAGAATCAGTTGCAACCCAACCTGAGAGCATCGTTGTCTAGCGGTCTTCGTATTCTAAGGAGACTAGGCTTATGACGTCACCTTGGTTCCCTGTAGTATCAACTGGTGAACCAATTCACAAATTTCATGAAATCTCGTATGGAAATGGTGACATTGGTGGCCAACGAGACTTCGTGCTTTTGGATTTCCTGCAATCAGCAATAACAGTATTGCGGGCGCACGAACTTGTAGGCTGAAGCGATACTAGCGCTACTTTTGTTTCGGTAGAATGCAACAATAAATACAATAGAAACTGGAAAAAGCGTCTTTAGCTATTGATTTTGTAGCAAAATCTAACGAACCATTGGCGCTCTACACTTTAAATTTAGTACAGAGATATGCCATATATATAAGCATATATTTTTAAAATATATTGTTTATAAATGAGTAGTTATGAATACAGTTATGCTACTTTGAGGTTGTATCCAACAAAATTATTCTAAATTAGTTTGATAGGCATATCTATTAAAGATGTAAGAAAACGGAAAGAAAATCAGTTAATGATTGTCTTGGCGATCGCAATATTTTTGTAGTCCTGTACTTACACGGTTGTGTTAGCGGCCTCCGTAGTCTAGAGGTAACGTTCCCACCTCATGACTCGTGGTACGCGGGTTCAAACCCGGCGGAGGTCGTCGAATTTTTAAGGGCGGAAAAATTCAGGGAACAAGTCCTCCGGGAGGGACTTTAAGCCGTGGGTCCCGTGTCGTAGCTTTACGGCACGTAAAAGAACCTCATACCTCCAAAGGAGGTCACTGAGCCAAATTGCGGACGTTTCCCGCCCAACAGCAGTCACTAATACCTCCGGTAGATGGGGGAAGCATTATAGATACTTCTCAGCCAGTAGAGCCGGTCTCGCTGGCTGGGCGGGACTGATGGTAAGCACCAATACCGGTAGGATATAGAGACTGGTAGAAATCATAGAGGGAAGCACAATGGACCACTACAGGTCTAAGTGCATGGGGAAAACCCACCCTCTCTAATTACTAACTAACTACATGGTTGTGTTTGAGTAATTTAGTAGTCACCGTAGTAGCATTTTCCCTTTTAGAAAGACATGACTTGATTATCATCCGAGCTAACTGTCTGATACAGTGCCAACGTAAGCAGGAACATGGAGTTGTCACAAATACGGGGGTTTTAAACTGGAATCTTGACGGGAAGGAAGCTGTTGGGGCACCGAGACTGTGTTTTCATGTGACATTCAGACAGATCTTAAAGTAACAGAATTTGAGGATGCGAACTGGATTCATCTGGCTCTGTATATAGGCAGTTGGCGGGGTGTTGTGAAAACGGTATTGGACGTTTTGGTTTCACGAAACGCGGAAATTTCGTGACCACTTGAGCGATTATCGACTTCTGAAGGCAGAATCTGCCACGTAGATTTAGATAACATGTAACAAACGATATTTCGCTATCCTCATGCACAGCGTGACTATCCTATCCTGCCGTATATTTTGTGGAGTACTTTACGGCACTGTCAGCAACTACATTATATAGTAAGGCAACATATTAATTCGAAAGGATCTGGAAGGAAGCCGTCGTAATTGAGGGACCATGCTTTACTGCAGAGCCTTAGTAAAACCACAAGAAACCTGCTATTCGGCCTAGGCTGGAACCCAACACCTCCAGCGCTGCGCCAGGCATTTCGATCGACGTTCGTATCGATTGTCACCGCTATGTGGCCACTCGCCATTGCCGATTCAGGCCTCACAGGCGGGACCAGATAGTGATATCCTGTGGGCTGGTGGGTTTTGTCGTGTTTATGTTTCACAATTACCGGATGGGAGTGTTTATGTTACATGCCTCTGTATATGCCTGTCACGTGGAGTTTGGAGGCATATGCTACTTCATTGATACACAATGCTGTTCATTGACTAACAAGCGTAAACCGGATGTTGTACGTGGGTGCATGTACTTCGTCAGCCTCAAGTTCATTCTGCAGGTCTAACGGAGGAGAACACGGGCACTAGGGGCACAGCTTTATTGTAAATACACGTAGGCTGGGGTCTTAAAAGTATCAGACAAGTTCACTCTTGCATTTGTCGAAAGCCAGCTGTTTGAAGAAAACATCTAATGGGGAGTTATGAACACTTTGTAGTGGCCGCGCCATAGCTCAAGCGGTTAGTTGCTGGCTTCCCACCGCGGCGGCCCGGGTTCGATCCCGGGCCTGGTCAAGTGGGATTTGTGGTGGACAAAGTGGCGCTGGGGCAGGTTTTCTCCGAGTACTTCGGTTTCCCCTGCCAATCTTCATTCCACCAGTTGCTCCACAATGACCCTCACCTATCATCTGGGGCTGGTACAATAGGCCAGAAGTGGCCGCAGTACAAGGGACTTAGTTCCCTCCTACTAGCAATAAAAGAAAATAATATGACTGCATTTTCACAAAGTATTTTTGATTGGTGAGTTTTAATGATCACATGACGATGGGTATAATGAGATGTGATGCCGTGTAGTCATGAGTCATCAGAGACGAAAAGATTCTTCGACTTTTAAACTGAGGGAAGCACGTTCCTCCGAAACGTCGGAAAACGGCCATAATACTTGGGATTACTTGGTTTTTAGATTTTGTCCATCGCCCGATATTCTAAAGAACATAACGTTTCGGCAACCAAATCTATTTCAGTCCTTAGGTGGGGGTGGGGCGTGGAAGGCACATAATGTGTTGGGTCCGTTAACCTCAATTGCGGGACAACCAGTGTCAGTATAACTGAAGCTATGTAAACCCGAGATCATGTGATTTGTTTCATTTATTTTCCGCTTTCATTTCTATCCCACTTTCATGTCTGTACATGCATTATCACAATTTTTATTGTACATTTTCCTGTTATGTCCCGTTATCAAATCCTGATTTATTAATTAATTAATGGTCTAACCAGCCAATTAATTATACAAGTGTAACCAACAGGACTTCCTCAAGCAGTTTATGTTTATTCAGTCTTTCGTGCAATGTCATGTTAGGTGCAGCCATGTGAATGCAGCCATGTCTTTACATGGCTGCACACCCGAGGAGCGGGGCATCGCTTCCTGGCACGGGTAAGGTATTTTTCTCTACTTCATAGAGTTCAGACAGGCCCTGGGCCTGCCCAGTGTCCCGTTCCATGGTTACCGGGGGGGGCGCTTTATCCCCTGGGGTCATGAAGCTGACCACTCGTCTCCATCTGGCCCCGAAGTCAAAAGTGGTAGAGCTGTACCTCCACTCCCCCATATGTCTTCATGGCATAGTGCTTGATTACATAGATAAGTGCAGGAATTACTTTAAAGCGAAGTATAGATAGGCTCACCAAATTTAGATTATAGGCCTTGCTGGTGGAAAAAATCATGTAAACATGAATTATGTGTTTCGTTCACATAAATTGATACACAGGTTTACAAATAAACATGTTATCCAGCACTATATGCCAGCATTAGTACTACGTCAGATTATAATGTAGAACTTCGTGACGTCATGCTAGTATTATGTGTGTCTATGAGCTTTCTTTTTTCTTATATGTTACTTTTGTTTAACGATGACTTCCCAAATGATTACATTGTGTAGCGTCAAATAAAAGTTTGACCTGAATGTCAGTGCGAGAGGTTTATTTTCAATTACTAGCCCAGAGATTTCTCCGAGTCCGAAGAAGACCACAAGAAACTTCAGTCATGATTATTGGTCCCAGAATATCCCTAATATGAGCCAGGGGTGCTAGCAACTTGACTTGTGATGTTTCGTGTACGCTTTCCTAATAAAGTTTGAGTTATTTCCTCCACATCTCGTACGTGTGTGCAGAGCTATGTTCCATCGTCTTGTGGTTTAAAGAATAGGGAGGGAGAATGAGAGAGAGATAGTTGGAGGGAGAAGGAAATAGTGCCTTTGCTGCTTTGGAATGTAGGTCCACTTGCTTCGTCTGTACCATGAATTAACATAACGTATACAGGTATATCGTAGGCGTGTACATATGGCCAAATTGGGCCTGAAAGCCTCCCTTTTAGTATGCTGGAAATATCTACCAGACGACGCGATAAAACTTGAGTTTATATTTTCGTGTTTCTTAAATATGTCTGATTGTAATGAAATTGGGAGTAATGAAATATTTCAACTCTTCTTGCATTTTAAAATATGTGACACATCTACAAGTAGAGTCTTCTTTATACCTCATCGATTCTTGTATATTTAACGATTACTTTCCAGCTTGATTGCATTACTTGCAAGATGATTTTGAATGATGAATGCAGTAGGAAGTGGTAGGTACTATCCCAAAATGTATCCGGAGTCTAAGTAAAGTTGTGATAAACATCTGACCTCTTAAAAGAATGGGGTGATAACAACTAAATTGCGACTTTGGGTTAAGGAGCTTTTTCTATTTGTATAATTGCATTTGAAAGTTGCTTTTAAAATTATTTTAAAAGTAACTGCCTTGTCGGTTGCGTAAATTTCTGCTGGTCTCGCCAGCACAGTGATTCTCCCTTCCCAGTCCACGGGACTCAAGACTACATTTTATTCTTGCCACTCTACTAGTCGCGCAGACACTCTCGGCTTGGCCGATATTTGGACCTTATACAGCTTACGCTCGTACAAGTACAGGTACGTAGACACCACGCGGTAAAGGCATGAAAAAGGAAACCGATTAAACGATATAAAGAAACGTATGATATTGTCACGCATAGGGGTTGTGCGTGAATTATAAGACGGGGTTTGGAATTGGATGATTCAATTTATTGATACCATATACACACCACTAGGAAGTACAGGCAATTACAGGGCTATTCCTGTTCCCACACTTTACAGTTCACCGTTACACACGCACTAGGGTTCTCAGTCATCACTAGCCGTATCCTGGCAACAGTTTGATCACACATGACGTCTTCTTTGCACCACCTAATTCCTTTCTTGCCATTTCTTCTCGATCACTTTGCACTGCCATCTCCAGAATTCGACCGAATTATTTACAACAACTAACTCTATGCCTCTCTATGCTGATGAACATGTGGGAACTGCCCACATTCAAGTAAGTGTGACAATGCAAATCCTCGTGCGCGGCAGGCTCGCCACCGTGTCAACCGATAGGGTCAAACCTGCCTACATGTTAAACGAGACAGGCCGTGGGACCACCACCAAGACCTTCAACCCTGCAGCCGACGAAACCCCAACCGCGGTTCCGCTTGCCGTGCCACCACAGCCTGTACAACGAACTACACGCTCCGGACGTCATGTACATTTTCCTGATCGCTTCAACAGCTGAGCAACGATCTCCGCGGGGGAGTGATGTGGGAACTGCCCACAAACACTTCCTTATAACCACTTTGCACTGACCGCGCAGAAAAACAGCCTCTGTTATTAAGGAGGCATATTTATTGATCCGTTGCCTAGCAAATTAGTCCTATTGTTGCCCTCGTTTACTTCCGCCGGAATGTGTTCACCGAGTCGTTGCCTAGCAATGGGTATACACGTCACAATATTATGTTTCTGTTGGTAACGTTGATAGACTGAATAAACTTAGAACTGTCTAGATTGGGGTGGGGTCTCGCTGACGGAGGAAACAAGAAATGGTTACAGATTTTTTATAGAAGTTTATGAATGTTTCTTGGAATACAAGACGTACAACATGAACAGTGTATAATCTCAAAACTGATCTTGGTGAAGTCGAGTGAACTCTCTCAGTGTATGGTCGGTTGATGTGATGAATTTTCCAGTTTTGTAAGAGTAAGGGAGTTCTTGAATTAGGCAGTATCGACTAGTCATGAAACTGTCTGTACCACGGAGTAAGTAAATTAATGCCAGCCTTTTGGCTACGAAATAAAGTTCCTTGGTTGCAATAATTAGTTGGTGCTTATGTCTGCGAAACTTGCAACACTCATTACCAGAAAGAGAAGTAGCTCTTCTCTACCTGAGCTGAATAAATCTTCATTCTGGCTTGTGGTTACGGTGCAGGATTACCAGTTTTTCTTTTTGTCCCGTTCTGCTGTGGAATCTTCTTTGTTCATCCCCATCGACATTCTGTTTCTTGAAAATGTAATTGAGGAAACGGAAATGAAGAAGAAAATTGGAGGAGAAATTAAATTCGCTGAGCTATCATAAATTGTATATTTCGTTTCTGTACCAAATTGGTGGTACATCATGATTAGACCTTCGTACTGGTGGTCAGTTGACCCAGTCCCTCCCTTCTGAGAAATGCTCATTGGCTTTCACAGAACAATCGAAACCTCTTGAGGCTATGTGGTTAGGTAAGGATACTGGCTAAAGAAAATTACAGAGTAAACTAAATTAGTTTTATTACGAGTTTTCCCTGTCTTGGTTTTGAGAAGCCAAACCATAGGACAATATGAATCCATTATTGTGTTTGTATATTTGAAATAATAACGTTGTAAATTATTAGCTGCCTTTAAATCTTGCATTATATAAGAACCTTTGGACCACATTTTATATCTTTTATTTTCGTTATTTATTAAGAAAAAGGAAACGGCTTTCTGGAACTGATCAGCCTATATATTTCGTGGTTCGTCGGAAGAATCACTAGGCACGTATTGCCTTAATATTTGCTACTGTTTTTGTTGGTCCATTTACTCTCAAGTGGGGTCCAATTTTCCCACTCTTATGTGTGTGAAAAGACACAACGAGCCCGACGTCAGAAGTTTTACATCATTGTAGAAAGGTAGTATATAAGAAACCAATACCATCAAATATGCGAACAATGTTTTGGTTTGTAATTCAAGAGACGTTCGACCGAGTTCCATAGATTTATTTGTAGGAGAAAATAAACGATTCTGAGTATTTGTCTGTACCACTATTAAGCTTCCCCTTTCACCCCTGCGCCTTTCTTTTGCGCTTCGTTCTCAGGGTTTTCAATTCCACGCTAACGTGGCCGTCTGTCTTGTACCATTCTATTGCGATGGTGCTATCGCATTCAATTTTGTGCCCTTACTTGTTAGATCACGATATGTCTGGACTGGTTGCGCAGCTCCGATGTTAGCTCCAAGAAAATGTTGAAAGCAGATTATATTAAAAAAATAAGTAAAATAATCCCTGTGCTTAACTAATTAAGCATTACGCCATGAAGGCGTTTGGGGGAGTGAATGTATAGATCCACATTATCTTGACCTCGGCACTAGCTGGAGGTGAGTGGTCAGTTTCACGTCCAGGCCGCTTTACCCCCGGGGAGGACAGACCTGGAGAGGTTAGCGTACCGTTGCTCTTTGATCCGGAGTTGTTGAATTGCAGTTTCAGGTTCTGGCTCAGCCTTCGTGTAGTGGGTTTAAGGAAGGAGCATGTCATCTTGACAGCGCTGTGTGACATTTCCTCTCATTACGCTGTTAACAGCGCTCTTCATTACAGCGTATGTTCACAGATTATGTGTGTCCGTCCTTTTATATTGTAGCACGCAAAGTCGTTGCTAAGTAATGACTTGGTAAGTTACTCACGTTGCTAGGCAACAGATTCATAACAAGCAACAATTGAATTGTAAGAATGAGAAGCAGCATTTTCTACGCGGTCCGTGTCGATATGTTATAGGCAGGACAGGTCTAGAGTTTAGTTGAATTGGAGTCAACCAGAAGAGTAGGAGGTTGATGTGAGATGGCCGCCAGCCTGAGAGTTGGTGCAGTGTAGTGCAGGGAAGTGAAGAGTTGGTTGATGAATTATTTAGTAGTTAGTCATAGAACTGCAGTTCAGTCGTTATGAGTTGTCGCTGTTAGAAGCTGAGAGCTGAGGCACGGGAATAGTTGGAAAACCCAAAGTAAGGGGAACATGTGCCGTTGAAAGCCGTTACCAGGCGACGACTACTGGAGACTGCAACAGACACAAGTGTGTGTTTCTAACAGTGAAATGCAGTCACGACTTTTATGTTAATGGAGCCCGTATGGTTGGGAGACGTCGAGGCTCCCACATTTTCTCTACGCAGTCGGTTCACATATGGCTGTAAGGTTGTTAGCCTTACGCGTCGGCCACCCTTTACCCCCCAGGAAGATTCCTGATATTTCTGTTAGAGGCTTAAGTCGACCCCAGGGCTCTAATGCGGCTGGAAAGATTAGGTAAGATGAAAAAAATCCACTTCATCGGTACTCGAACTCGCGATCTTCTGGCTTGTAGTATAGGGCCTGAACCAACTACGTTACCGCGTGCCAAGT